TGTTTAACTAGCTGGAATACCAGTACCCTGGACGGAAGTAATGTAAATTCATGATTAATGAAAGGTTATCTTAGGACATGAAAAGTTGCTTCGTTATATGTAATTGTAAAAAGCGCCCGTAAAAATTTGCAAAACACAAAATGTGAAACCGCAAGTTTGCATACATCTCCATTTGGACCCAACAAACCTTCATGCCAAATTTGGCGAAGATCCATCAAAAGGGGGCGAAGTAGTGGTAAAAAAACGTGAAAATCAAAACTGAAAATTTCTATGTACCCCCGCATGGACCTAATGAACCTCCATACCAATTGTGGTGAAGATCCACCCTGCGAAGTATTTACATGGACATATAACAGACAGTACTATTATATTTATATAGATAAACCTTGGATTATAGCGAGCGAGAAATATATGTAATAATTTCTTTACTTTCCTTTTACAGCTCTGAAATTATTTATTATATCAATTCTTTTTAAGAATCCATTATAATCTGATGACAAGCGCTATTCAGTGTGTACATATTTTTAAAACACAAAAGGCTATTTCATATCACCAAACAATAAATAGCATGAAAAAATACCATAACTTTTAGTCTGGGTAAATTAAGACGTTTAATAACACGAGGCACAAATAACTGTAGTTAAACCACCTTTCTAACAAAGTGAAACAAAAAAACAATAGTTGAAATGTACTATCGAAGCCTTCGACAAGGTCAGGAATAGTTGGAATATACTTTCTCTTCGGTAGAACTTTCACAAAACATGCTTGATTATGAGTATTGAAATGGACAAGGTCACATGCAAAAACAATTTTCACAATGTAATATAGATTATATAACCAAAAGCACTTTTAAGGACCATGAAAAAGTATATAAACTAATCAACAAAACAGATATTTACGTCACGATTTTAAGTCTCTTATAAACACTGCTCAATATTAAAATTTGTCTATTAATTGTAACAACAAGTTCAGTCGCTAGACGTATAACAAACCTTATTGGATGCATCAAACTGAAATGATAAAATCTGTTTTTTTCATTGTTACTAATAGAATGGAACATAATCTCTATCAGTTCTACTACTGGACGAAGAAAGCTGGGAGTTTACCAGTAGTTAAAGTGAGAGTGAGCCCCCAAGAGGCTCTGACCCTGGCTAAAAACTCGCTAAAGTAGCCCCAAGTTATATTAACAAGGGACTAACAGGAGCTGAAACAATATTATAAGATAGTATGAAAGAGAATTCGATAGGATGAACACTATTTGCTCCATTTTGAGATCACTGCTGACAGTGGAACAGATAGTATCCAATAATGGACCATCTCTGAAGCAGTGGAATCCACTACCATATGTAAAGTTTTGTATAGCAAAAACAGAACACCTGTTACTGGAAATACTTGCAAGTCCAGGATGCACAAAAGGAGACATCACCACTACCTCTTCTGTGGAAAGTTTAGTCAACATATTTTAAAGATTCTGATATGTCTGAATAAGTCTTAGTACAAGGTTTATGTTTTGTTGCTATCTTAATCGCAGTGTGGTGTATTTTTCTTCTTTACTTTGCAGCTTAATAAAATGTTGTACTAGCTAGTTGCTTTTTTAAAAGTTTTCTAAGTGGCTAACCAGCTTCAGAATTCCACTTTAACCAATAGGAGTTTCTAAAGCAAAACGACAAAATTTTATAAGAGATAGTATATGAAAGGTACGTCTGGACATACCAGACGATAGTGATTACTCAGGATTATGAAATAGGTGTCGCGCTGGAGTAATAATGAAAAGTTTGCAGATTATACGTTTTAGAAGCCTTGGACAATGTCAGGAATAGTTGGAATGTACTATAGAAGCCTTGGATAGTGTCAGGAATAGTTGGAATGTACTATCGAAGCCTTGGACAATGTCAGGAATAGTTGAAATGTACTATCGAAGCCTTGTACAAGGTCATGAATAGTTGAAATGTACTATCGAAGCCTTCGACAAGGTCAGGAATAGTTGGAATGTACTATAGAAGCCTTGGATAAGTGTCAGGAATAGTTGGAATGTACTATAGAAGCCTTGGATAGTGTCAGGAATAGTTGAAATGTACTATAGAAGCCTTGTACAAGGTCAGGCAATATCAAGTAGACTTATATGCTCGCATTACAAAAGTTGTAGTTACATAGACACCACTGTTGTTCTCCAGTGAGTTGGCGGTAAGTTTATGGACTTATAACGCAACTGTTGTATCTCTTAATAACTTCCATGCCACATTTGAAGTATATGCAGAGATTTCATGCTGTGTCAAAATCTTTAAGTGATAATGATTTAACAAGCAAGAGAGGCAGTAGAGTTGTATTAGGCATCATTATAAAAACAAGTCGGCCCGGCATGGCCAGGTGGTTAGGGAGCTCGACTCGCAATCTAAGGGTCGTGGGTTCGAATCCCCGTCCCACCAAACATGCTTACCCTTTCAGCCGTGGTGGCGTTATAATGTTTCGGTCAATCCCACTATTCGTTGGTAAAAGAGTAGCCCAAGAGTTGGCGGTGGGTGGTGATGACTAGCTGCCTTCCCTGTAGTGTTATACTGCTAAATCAGGGACGGCTAGAGCAGATAGCCCTCGTGTAGCTTTGCACGAAATTCAAAAAACAAACAATAAAAACAAGTTAAAAGTAGAAAAGGCAAAATTAGCAGCTTACTCATTTAAATTATAATTCTTACAAAACATTTCTTCCTTCTCTAGCGCATGTGTAAATGAAACTAAACGTGTAAAACAGACAGGAACGTCAATTGACTCTTCCTGTCATTTTTGTTAATTCGACTAGGGATGAAAAAAAAAAACATTCGTGGAGTGAATAGTATTTTATTTTTCATATAGCTCTCAACCTTCAGTGCTATGAACAATAATAATAAAATACTTCCTTGCGTAAGTAGTCAGCAGTAACAATACTAGCAAATAATTATTGATATTTGAAGGAACACTTCCTTACCGAAATAGTCAGCAGTAACAATACTAGCAAATAATTAGTGAGATTTGAAAGAACACTTCCCTACGTAAGTAATCAGCAGTAACAATACTAGAAAATAATTTGTGATATTTGAAAGAACACTTCCCTATGTAAGTAGTCAGCAGTAACAATACTAGCAAATAATTAGTGATATTTGAAGGAACACTTCCTTACCGAAACAGTCAGCAGTAACAATACTAGCAAATAATTAGTGAGATTTGAAAGAACACTTCCCTATGTAAGTATTCGACAGTAACAATACTAGAAAATAATTAGTGATATTTGAAGGAACACTTCCTTATGGAAATAGTCAGTATTAACAATACCAGGAAATAATTAGTGATATTTGAAGGAACGCTTCCTTACGGAAATAGCCAGCAGTAACAATACTAGATAATTAGTAGCGATGTTTGAAAAAATACTTCCCTGTATATTCGACTGTTGGGCCATTTCTGTTTCATCTTGTTCACTGATTTGCAATCCTCATCACCAGTGATATCCAATTTTCACTATAATTTTCACTCTAATTACTCTACAATAGTCTTATCAAATATTTATCCATTTTCATATCTTTTCACATTCGTGATGCAGAGTCGTCTGCTAGCAAGTCAAGGAATTAACATGAAAATTAAGTATTACGGCATGCAAAAAATGAAATAAAAAGATGAGTAGCGAAAAAACACGGAGTTCGACACAGAGACAAATTAAACGAACCAAAAGTAAGCAAAAGCACAAAATATCGAGAGGATTACATGTGAATTCCGGGAATCTGGAGATAGGCCTATGATCAGGCAATACAGTTGTATCCTTTGCCCTTGTATCCACCCATGATTGCAGGGATTACGTACAGAATGATGTTTTTGATTAAGGTTATGTAGTATGTTAAGTTAGGATGACATTCTCCGTCGAAAATGACACTTCTCATTCTCCAACCTGCACTGTTATTTGTCTTGGATAGTAGTTTTTGAAAAGTTTGAATTCTGCTATTTGATATCCGCGCCAGGTATCTCGTTGCAGTACACTTACTATTATGTGTAGGAGCCTAACCCCCTGAAATCAATACTGTATGTGCCACTTTAAAATAAATGAATAGACTACCGTATGAAACTCAAAACCACTGAACATTTTAATTACATCCGTATACGGAACATTTGACAAATCATGTTCAAAAGTCAAAGAAAACCATTCATGAATGATTGATTTTATCACGACAGAAAATTAAAATACTAAATCAAACGTGACTACTCAGCAAGTTAATCAGAGACGTAGCTTCCAGGAATATGAAAAATTCAAGTTTCGCAACAAGGACATTTGAAAATAGCACATTTTCTTCTTGTTGTATGTCTGCATCGTAGTATAACAGTGCTGACATAGAAATTAATTTCGCGCTCGGCATGGCCTGGTGGCTAGAGCGCTGAACTCATAATCTTTGGGTCGCAGGATCAAAACTCCTCGCCAAGATGCTTGCTCTTTCAGCCGTGGAGGCGTTATAATGTAACAGTTAATCCCACTATTTCTTGGTAAACAATAACTGTTTGTTGTGTGTGATGTTAGTTGCTTTCCCGCTAGTTTATCACTTCCAAATTAAGGATGACTAGCACAGATAGCCTTCGATTAGCTTTGCGTGAAATTCAACGAACGCACAATAACAACAACAAAAAAGCTTTTCAATGTTCATTGCAAGACGAATTTTACAGCAAACTAACCCCAATGAAAGAAGAGAATATTAATGATCAAATATATCGTTTCAGCGCTTTTATCTAAGCCGGTAAAATTGTTCTAGGTGTTTGTCTTCTTTCTTCAAATAATTTGTTCATTAGAATTGCTTTACATGAGATTTCACCTTTAATAACATAAAGCGTTTAACATTTACAATAAAAAATATTTTTTCCGCTCTTAACCATAAGTAGGCAAAATTTAATGAGTGTCAAAGGACTTGCACAAGAAACTGTCAGTAGTTGTCGGTGCCCAATAACTACTACTCTCATATTAAAAAGCTTCAATATGTGATATGTTTACGTCTTTTTGTGAACAGTCGTGCTCATCAGTAATATAGGGGATTAGCTGAGTGGGCTCAAGCTCCTGCCTGATACCCCAAAAGTGCCCTTTTTCTTCGTCGTAAAACATTGTCAACAACAACTGTAAGGTACGCCTGATTCCACATCATGCTTGCTACGAGTTATTAGAAGAAAAAGAAAAGATTTCAGCTTTAAAATGAATGACATATAAGGACTTGTAAGTTTTTACAGTAAGAAAAACAATAACCGTGATACGCTATTAAATGCTAATATGCAAGAATTCACTGTTTAGTTTTAGGTATATATAATGCAAGTTGAATAGGAATAAAAGAGGATCTATTTGCTTCTTATTGCTTTTTTATTTTATGTACCAGAGGCAACCCATGATCTCTCTAAACTCTTCATCTTCCTTTCCCAGCAAAAAAGAAAAAAGCTTGCCTTACGATGCTTGAAAAGTGTCCTGCCCTTTTAATGTCCTCTGCACATCGCTGTTGACTATAAGCTACTTTTTTTTTGTCTAGGTATAACTGTATTTCAAAATATAAAAAAGTGTATTTGAAGTGAAGATGAGAATTATGTTTAAGATTACATATGTAATAACAAAGATACTTCATTGTTAAAAATAAGGCTGAGTGACTTCCAAGCTCGTAAAATATTTGAACTATCGGCTTTTTTTTTTCAGGGGTTTTTGTGTCCCGGATGAGAGATCACGAAACACAGAAATTACTTTCTGGGTTGATTGACATTGGAGATGAGATTTTAGAGATAGATGGCGTTGGTGTAAAAGAGAAGGACATAACAGAAGTGAACAGTTTGATGACTAAGAAAAATAACATACTTTTGACCGTCCTACCGTATTCGAGTCGGGTCGACGTGTGAAACGAACACGAGCATCTTTCTTGATCCTTCTTCTAACAGTTTTTTCTGTTTTTTATCATTTACAGAAAAATATTCGTCCTGAAACATTTTACTTATAGGGGAATTGTCATTTCATACCTGCATTGATACAATTGAAGTACTAAAAATCGTTACCTGTAGAAGTGGAATATTTTAGAGATTGAATATATATATATAAATTGAGAAAAAAAGGATATGGTCAAACTCTCACCCACATGATCGTATGGTTTGTTTAGATTTAGCTGCCTAAATGCGTTCTGCTATCGTGCTTTTTAGTAGTTGTGTAATCACAATAAATGAATAAAACACAGGTTCGTTCTCACGTGACGTATAAGATATTATGTAAACTAATGTTTAAACCAGGATGCAGAGTTAATTAAACTTTTAAGTGGATCATCATATACTTACATTTGATGGATATCAGCTTTATTTGTTTGTTTTATTATGTTTATGTAAGGTATGAAACTAATAATAAAAATATCTTACTGTTGCCCAGTGAAGGCTCTGGTAAGAAGGCTGAAAGCTCGCAATTAAAGAAAGAAGTATTGAACATACAAAAGGTTCTATATATATATATATATTTTTACATTAAGTAAAAGCAACAGTATTTTCAACCCAAATTTTATCTTACATTTTAGTGAAACATAATACTAATCATTCATCTTTCTTTTCTGAGCAGAGAGTAGTCATTAAGTTAGGCTTATTAGTGTTAAGCGTTTGAAGTATATTTTACTAAATGCATAAAATTTACTCGTTAGGCTGTGATTTTCAAATATCGTGTGTAGATAAATTCGTCTTTTTATCTACATCTGAATTCTAATTACTTTGTTAAATGTTAAAATAGATTTCGGGAGTAGATGCTATAAACATCTTTTAAAATAATGTATTTTATAATTGCTGATTTTCTTCTAAAAGGTTCAATACTAAAAATACTATCAGGTTATATTGTAATAATTTAAGTGTCGGAATTAACCATTGTGTTATTTTCACTATTCTTTATTTTTGTTTTAAATTATATTGACATTCAATATTTTTGTAATATAAATCACGTAATATTTCACATTCTTAAAGATTGGTTACCAAAAGTAAATTCCATCCAATAGTAGGAGGACATGGTAGCACGTATTTTTGTACTCTTGTAATGTATGTTTTTGACTAAAAACTCTTAATATGTATGTTTAATAACTATATATATATATATATATATCATGTTTATTGTTAATGATATTTCACACTGTACTTGGTAAGAAAAGTCAAAGCATAATAAATATCATTTGTGTTGCTATTCGTATGTTGTGTGTTAAAAGCACTATATTATAATACAGAAATTTTTGCAATCAGTTAATGTCAAATATTATAAAAGTACTTACAGTACGTTATTCAAATTAAGTTGGAGAGATTTCTTTTAACTTAGTTTTCTTGCTTTGCACTTAAGGCCTGGTCTTGTATTTAATTAATCATTTTTTGAGGAACTCTTAAATACAACATACCCAAAAATAATGATATTAAAAAGGACATCTAGGACAATAAAAGTATGTCATTTCTAGGTCTGTCAAGGCAGGTTAAAAACAGATGTATTTTCAAAATATATTCAATTTTGCTTTCACTTTATATTAAAACGAAATATGACCTATGTTGTTTTGTTCAACTGTATTATGCTTTCATGTTCAAATAATATTTTTAAAGTAAAAGAAAATCAAATGCTACAATTGTCTTTATTTGACTACAAATTAAAGACTTTAAACTATGAAGTTAAGACTTTTGACAGAATAAGGATGATAAGGTTTTACAATATCGTTGTATTGTTTATAATCTCATATATGACTTGTTGAGCTATCTTGAAATATTTCAAAGTATGAATAAGCTACTGTATACTGTTATTATCTAAAGTCAAAGTTCAACTTAAGTACATCTATTTGGTATTCTTTATGATTACCTGCATTACAAAGAATCATGCTAACATGTTTAACTGTCGAAAAGTATTTCAGTATCTCGTTGATAATATATTATATGGAGTTATTCTACTCTAGAACTGCTATATACAGGGGCGGATTGGGAGCCAAGACTGACCAGATCACTTAACTTTAAGAGTTTTGGCCAAATTTTTTTAATAATTATTTAGACTTAGTGTTTGTTTGTTTGAATTTATGCACAAAGCTACACAATGGGCTATCTGTGCTCTGCCCACCACGGGTATCGAAACCCGATTTCTAGCGTTGTTAGTCCGCAGACATGCTACTGGAGGGCTAGGCTTAGTGACTAAGTATTATAAAAAAGTATGTTCTCTTAATCTAACTTTATAATGTTACAGACTACATAGTTTTACACTTTCATTTACATATGTACATAGTTTGTTTCTTAGAAATTCCATCATGGCTTTGAATGCATTTCTTGAAATAATTGACTTACGTTGAAGTTCAGTAAGTCTAGAAATATTTTATCTGACGATATGTGCTTATCTTTTTGCTGGAAAAAGTTGAAAGCTCGTTGGTGTCGTCTCACATAATGAAATAGCTTTTGAAAGGATGTTTTTTACCGATAAGTACTTTTTAGAAAACATCACAAAACTACAGCTTGACAAAAGCTTCTTATAGAAGAATCAAGTAGATTTTAGACAACTTCTCTTATCACTGGTAAGAAAAAAAAAGGAGGCTTAAACCTAGGTGAACTTCAAGATGGATCAACTTTGAAGTAGTTTACTTCGAGCATAGAATGAATGTTCAAATACTTGAATAGGCTTGGTCTAGAAAAGCCTCAAATACTTATAATATTGGACTACTGTTGTCTCTAGTTTCCAAATGTTTGAATGGACGTCGCTCAACTGAAAAAAAACAGTACATTATAAGGATCAAATATTGTTTTATTTGAATGTTTGTTATAACTAATTTGGATATGGTCAACATCATATTCAGAGTTTTTATGAACGTGAATATTATAGACTTTCGTTTGTAGTTTTCTAGTTTTTATGCGATACCTTTCTCACTTAAAATTACATAAAGCTCCTGTTTTTTATTTAACATAATCTTAAGTGGGTTTGTGTTTCAGTTAAATGTATTGTTCCATGACGTCTCTGTTGATTTCTTTTTCACCAAGTGTCCGTCACAATGACAGTCATAGTCTCACTATTTACATAGATTGCTCTTATGATCTCTAAACTATGCAAACCGCTTGTGATTTTTCTTGTTACTATTTTAGGTATTTTTTAAAAGCTTTTGTCTACCTAATCATACTCTGCTAAATTAGTCCTATGCTTTTCTTCACTTTAAACTGGATTACTTCAAATATATAATATTAGCCTTCTATACATACATAATCTGATTTTCTTAGTGGACTCCACGCCTTAATATCGTATCATTCTCAGTCCTACCCTGCTCATGTATTGGAATGTCACTTCTGACTTCTTCATCTGAGTCACGTTAGATGCAACATTAGGTTTATCTGAATTCCTGGACACGTAGAATTATTTGACAGTGAATGTTATGATTTTCAGCATACCCAACTCTCCCATCTCCCAATTAGGTTGATTTTTTCTGGTAACAATTGTGATCTTCCAATCTTCTAGATTCAAGTGTTTCGTATCTTTTGTATTTTCTGTGTGACGGATTTATTATTATATATTTATTTCTATATCGATGTTTGTTTGAATTTAATTTATGTTTAGAAATATACATAGATTATACTGTTGGATATGTATTGCGAAGCCCCCGCCTGTTCTCTGGGGTTGTGGAGGATTCTCGAATGTAGAAATCATCAATGTGTGTGTGTACGCGTGAATGCTAGTGTAGTTTGTATTGTTGCGTGATCTGAATGTTCGAGAACCTCTCCACACGCCTATAGATGTGACCAGCGCAACGCGCCGAAAAGGAGTTGCTGTAGTTGGTGTGCTACGGACTCCGTAACACCTGGAGCTCGTGTCTTTCCTTGTTTTTTAACTCTCATAATTTTTACTCATTTATTTTTGACTCCTTACACTTCTACCACCATGGCTCCCTGGTGTGAATGGTTTCCTGTCCTAGCATACACCATTCTCATTGAAAGAACCCCCAAGCGGCTTAGTGGTAATTCTGAACGTTAAAAGCCAGTTTTCAATACACTGCACAGATGACTCATTTAAAGATGACCTTGTTTAAATTCCAAGTCCAGGGGATAAGTTTCACTTTTTCAACTCCAATTGTTCAGATGTAGTAAACCTTTTTAAATGTCAACTTCAGAAGAAAAGTTTCACTTATCATCCTCAAATATCCAGATGTAACCTTTTTCAATTTAATATTAATTTTTATAATTGTGTTGCATCAGTAACAACTACCCTCTTACAACCTGCTACAGACCATGAATAGTTATTTTAGACATGAAGTTTGTGGAATGGAACACCAATACCAGCCTTTAATAATTTTTTTGCACCCTGCGAGAGTTGAAAATATGAGCAGAATATATATGGGTGCTACTTCTGCAGATACCTCTTCTAACTAAGGTACATTTTATACTTTCTATATTATACTGTGTACACTGATTTTATTAGCGATTTTTTTTCCTTTTGGCCTATTTCTCTGAGAACTTGTTTTAAAATATCATGAAATTGAGCATCACTGTCGCTTAAACATAAGTAAGGGTCACGATTCCCAGTTAAGTTGAAACTGTAAACATGCTTTAACTTCAGATTCCAAATTGATTCCTTTTTCCGGATGTATTCAACTTTGTACACCTATCAATAACGAATACAAGGATAAACTGAAAGGAATGGATGGATAATTCATAAGTGTCTTTTCACATAGAAGTGTGTTATATAAAACGAATTACAGTCTTTAGAAATAAATCTACTTATATGTTTAAAATCTACGAAGTAATGTTTAGCAGAAACTTTGTCTTTTAATTTATGCAAAGAATCAAAATTATCAATGTACGTGATCAGAACTCGAAAGATAGTTAATTAGTCGTTTCTTAAAGTGTGTTTTTGTTAATGTTCAATGCATTAATACTTCTGTTAATATTCTCGAACTGTAGAAGTTGCACGTAATTTAGCCACATGTTTCAAGCTCTCAAAGTTTGCTCACCATAAACATGACCATTTATATTTGATGCAAACCTACCCTGACAAAGTTTGAATGGTTGTCATATTTAATGTCTGCAACTAAACAAGATTATTAATCCTAAACATGCACGCGTTGC